ATAGGGTCAGCAGCAATGAGATATCATTTCACACCAGTGACAATGGCATATAATAAAAAATAGAACAATCTGTGATGGTGGAGATGTGGTGAAAAGGGACTCTCATCCATTGTTGGTGGAAATGTCATCTGGTTCAACCTCTGGGGAAAACAGTATGGCCAGTCCTCAGGAAACTTAGAACTGAGCTGCCATCTAACCCAGCAATTCCACTTTTGACTATCTACTCCCAGGACTTAAAAACATTTATTCAAAAGGACTTATGCACACTATTTTCATTGCCACATTTAGTATCATAACTAAGATATGGAATCAACCTAGGTGTACAATAACAGATGAATGAATTATGAAGATGTGATATATAATCTTTCCTTACTGCTATACAGTATTCCATTATATATAATAGATAATTCCATTATATATAGTCCATTATATATATAAATTCCATTATATAGAATGGAGCGATAGCACAGCGGAGCGATAGCACAGCGGTAGGGCGTTCGCCTTACAAGCGGCCAACATGGCCGACACGAGTTCGATTCCTCCGCCCCTCTCGGAGAGCCCAGCAAGCTACCGAGAGTATTCGACATGCCAGACACAGTAACAACAAGGTCTCCAATGGAGACGTTACTGGGCCCGCTCGAGCAAATCGATGAACAACGGGAGGGCCTTTACCTTTACCTTTACCTTTATATATAATGGAATACTATGTAGCTGCAAGGAATGACGAAATTATACAATTTGCTACGACTTGGTCACTTGGTTACCAAGTTGAGTGAGGTAAGCCAGAAGAAGAAAGACAACCACTGGTTAATCTCATTTATCTGTGGTACACAGAATAACTAAATGAGGAAATGTGATGTAGTAAAGGCAGGATGACTAGACCACTCTTGAACCCAGATCTTAGGGGGGGGAGAGAGAGAGAGAGAGAGAGAGAGAGAGAGAGAGAGAGAGAGAGAGAGAGAGAGAGAGAGAAGAAGAAGAAGAAGAACAACAACAACAACAAAGGGAGGACAGAGAAGGAAAGAGATCAAGGGGAGAAGGAAGATAAGACAGGAAAGGAATGGGGGAAACAGGGATTGGAACTTCAATTATACTGGTAATGTAAGTGGTATAGAAAATAGGAGATCTAAGCTGCAACCACTGAACTGTCAAGGCGTTGGCGTTGGCGTTGGTGTTGGTTGGGGTCATGGGGGAGAAAAGAATGGAACATAAGAACACTGGTGGTGGGATTGGTGTTGAAATATTAAGTAAAGTAAAAGTAAAGGCCCTCCCGTTGATCATCAATTTGCTCGAGCGGGCCCAGTAACGTCTCCATTAGAGACTTTGTTGTTACTGTGTTTGGCATATCAAATACATCACGGGGAGCTTGCCAGGCTCTGACGTGCGGCCGAGATACTCTCGGTAGCTTGCCGGGCTCTCCGAGAGGGGCGGAGGAATCGAACTCGGGTCAGCCATGTTGGCTGCGTGCAAGGCAAACGCCCTACCGCTGTGCTATTGCTCTAGCCCCAGTCTACGGCCATACCACCCTGAATGGTGCGCCAGCCCCAGTCTACGGCCATACACGCCCGATCTCGTTGAAATATTATACATCTATAATTCAACTATCAATAACCTTGTAAATCACAGTTATTTAATGAGATTATAAAATTTGAAAATAAGAAAGAACATGAGTCAGTCATATGCAGAGCATCTTAATCCCTGGAACATCTCTCTGGCTCCCAAGTCATGAAAACGTTTTCTACGTAGAATAATTTAAAGATACATTTTCCCTGATAACACTTATATGAAAGTCCAGAACAAGAAAATCTTTAGAGAAAATAGATTAGTTATTTCCCAGGATTTTCTAACTATTGGGTACAGAGCTTGTACTGGGGGGAAGGGAAAGGAGAGGAGAGGAAATAAAAATATTTTAAACTTGGATTGTGAAAATTATGCACAAATTTGTGAATATACTAAAAGTCATTGAACTGTAACCACCAATGGATACATTTTATTGTCAGAATTCAATTTTAACAGAAATGTTTTTTAAAGTGGGTTGATTTTTTTTCAATTAACAAAGAAATGCAACAGGATTTGAGGATTAGAGTCGATCAGTTGTTTGAGATCAGAGGCTGAGATGAGTGTAGTTACCAGCATCCCCACAACTAGCTCCACGGTCTTTGGCAAGTCCCAAAATCACCCTGAGTCCCAATAAATGATATATTGTTATCATTCCACAGGAAAGAAATTAAGAAATTCATATAAACCCCCTCCAAGTTCCAATGAAGGCAAGAATAATCGTGATTCACTGGGGTGAAAGAAGACAGCAGGGACCACTACTAGAATAGAAGTCCCTGACTGATTGGAACTCCTGTCCCCTTTGCTGAAACAAAATCTTTCAGCATTCCCCTGAAAACTACTTTCTTGATGAAGTTATAAAATTTTCTTCTAAGAGGATGGTCATGGAGAGTTTCATGCTAAGTGAAATAAGTCAGAAAGAGAGGGACAGTTACAGAATGACTGCACTCATTTATGGAATATAAAATAACATAATATGAGACTGACACCAAAGAACAGTAAATACAAGGGCCAGAAAGATTGCTCCATAGTTGAAAGCCTGCCTCATGAGCTGGGGGAGAAGGCAGCTGGAATAGAGACGGGATCACCAAGTCAATGATGGTTGGAGAATTGTTGGGGGTGGGAGATGTGTGCTGAAAGTAGATAAAGGACCAAACATGATAGCCTCCCAGTATCTAGATTGCAAACCATAATGTCCAAAAGTAGAGAAAGAATATGGAGGAAACTGTCTGCCATCGAGGCAGGGGGAGGGCTGGAAGGGAGAGGGTTAATACTAGGGACATTAGTGATGGAGAATGCACTGGAGGAGGGATGGGTGTTCGATCATTCTATGACTGAAACTCGAATGTGAAAGTTTTGTAACTGTATCTCACGTTGATTCAATAAAAAAAAGAAAGAAAACTACTTTCTTTAATCAAACAAACAAAAATCCAACCAATTTCACCTGAGACTACCACCTATCTCTTGGATAGCTCCAGCATGCTGGGGAGCAGTGGTGTCCCCCATTTTAGGAAAGACTAAACTAAATTTGGATGCTGTATACTTTGTCTATTTCTACAGTACACTGCCTTTTCTAAATACCCCACATATGGCAGAGCCCAGAGACCAGAGATACAGTGAATCTTGACCTCAACTCTTCCCATAGGCCAGAACAGCCCTTCACCTCCCACCTATTTCTAGAGTTCCAGCAAGAACGGAAGCATTTACAGTATTATTAGAACTAAGGGAACACAAAGGATGCTGACAATCCAACTCCAGGCCCTTTTTATCTTACACTGCTCATTTGGGAAGGTCATTTCCCCCCACCATGCCCATAAGGCATTAGATGCTTTGAGCTTCGCCTTCTCAAAAGCATAATGAAAATAGAGGTTGAACGCTAAAACATAAACATATGTATCATTTATAATGCATTCTGATGTTTTTCAATTATTCATGGTTCCTGAAAGTTATTTGACCTATCATGCACATAGATTCATAAACAATGTTTATATTAGAACCACGGCCTCCATGTACGCAATTCCAGCTCCTTGGCATTCCCGTCTATGGAATTAAAATTAAATGAGTCGGTGATCAATAAAAGTTACATGTGATTTCCATAAAATTATCCATTGTATATTGCTCTGGGGTGGAGAAGGATAGTCACATGGAGTTGCCGAAGCTGGCAGGGGAAAATGTTTGTTTTCTGATGAGGGCAGTGGTGATTAGTCTGTGCTAAGAATTATTTCATTATTTCCCTGAAAAATTGGTGATCTTGGCCCTATTTTTCATCTAGAACAAAATAATAATAACTCAGAAGTTCACCCCTTTCTCATCTAAGCCCTGCTTTCTTTAAAAAAAAAAATAAAAAACAGTATTCAGGGCTCAAAAACACCACATTCTTCTGCTCAGTTGCTTGAATAAATTTGCATGTTAACATGAATGGTTCCAACATCAAGAATGTAAAATTAAATGAAATTTGAATTCAAATCCAAGATGGAGAAAAGACATGTATAAAAACAACAGCTTTTCGATCCTGTTGAACTTTTTTCAAGGATCAGATTAGAAAAGACATAAACACACACACACACACACACACACACACACACACACACACACTCTTGCTTTCACTTAGAAAAGACAGGAACTGCCAAAGAGGAGCACCCCCTCCCACTTCAGACTCCCACCTCACCCAGAGTATTTACAGATCACAGCCAATTCTGAAGCTGTCTTTCATTGTCTGAACATTACCAGAAAACTTAGAAATAAGACTCTGAACACATATTCACCACTATGCCTCTACTTTGGCAGGCCCACCCAGATGAAGTGACATGTAAAGAAGATAGCTTGAGTAGTTCAAGTGACCACTGGTGTGAGTTCACCCCCCCATAGGTTCAATGAGACAATTTCTTGCTTCCTCCTTCAATTTCAACTACCCTTGTGGAGCTACTTGGCAAGATGATCAGATGGGGTGTCAAGAACAAACCTGGGTGGGAATCCCTGACTTCCAGCAAGTGGTTTGGCCTGTGAATGTAATTTGTATCGTTAGCTTATATTTATGTTAACAGTGGTCTTCTACCTTTACTGTGAGCATAAGATCAAACACTTAGCACAAAGTATAGGAGAACACAAGTATACCCTAAGGTTTGACTGCCCCAGAACTGATAGGTATAGTGATGTTTGTGATGTGTATTACATTTTTAGGTGATGGAGTCCAGAAGAAACGGACCTGGCACTATTTCTTTTTTCTTCAACATGCTCTCCCATTCTGTCCAGACTCTACCACCAGGGAAGAGAGACAAAGTGAGACCCAGTGAAGTTTGAGGGCAAGACAATGAGAGATGTCATTCTCTCAACTTATCCCATGTTGTCCATTAAGCCCTTCTCAAAATCTAAAGACACCCCAAGTGCCATAACGAAAAGATCTTAAATACAGAGGATGGTGAGAACAAGCATCCGTATCTTACCTCCTCCTCAGCCTCACCATTTGCTCCCAGCTTCTGGACAACAGACTTGTCGCTTTCCTTCAACAATTTCTCTCGGACTTTGGTCTCGTACTCAGGCCGGGAGTGTTCCTACGATCCAAAGAGTCAAAGCACGGTTAGTCAACAGGCGGATGATCAGCCTTGGCCTGTGGGTTATAGAACCAGACACCACGAGTACACTGAAGTCAGGACTTGGGATCAGATGCTAATGAACGGCTACACCACGCACAATCACAAGGCATCTAGGTCAGGAACACGATGTCGGGAAGAGAAAGGACACACAACACTTGTTACCACACTGAAAATCAAACCTGAGCACGTTCCTGGGGATGACGCCAGTGTTGAGAAAGGAGAGAGGAAATGTTAAATGCGTATCTGATTCAAAGAGACACCGTGAGCTTTTCTTAGTGGTATGGGATACATCTGGCCAAGGGATACATCTGCTCATGTCACCAACCATCTTTGAATCCCAAACTTGAAGTTTTAAAGGGCCAAATCCCAGCTGGAGACACAGAGATACCTCACAGTTGGAAGTTGGGGTAACAAGAAAAATTCTTTCCTGATTCATTACTCTGTAAGTTAAAATGGCAGCCAATGAGCATCAACGTGACAGGTGGCCTATCATAAGGAATCTTAAAACTCACTTGCCTGGACCTGTTTCCTGTATAGCCTGAGTGAATAACTCATTGCAAGTATGCCAATGTCAAGAGACATTCCTAAGTCACTCAGCCATACAAATCTGAAGCATGAGTCAGCAGGCATGGGACAAAAGAACCTAACTGAGAAGATTTTGGGCAAATCCATGCAGACGTGGGAATCCTTTCAAAGAGAACTGAGCAGTGTACACATGGCCCCACTGGTAGTTCTTCCTTGAAGTCTCCCAGGATGGAGATCTACAGGTGCAGGAACTTCCTGTTCCTGCATCATTTACTGATAACTCCCAGGCAGGAATCTGGTTCTGGGTCATCACAGGCTCAGGAAACCCAGATTACTTTATCTCTTGTGTCAGAGATCTCAAAAATGAACAAGCTGGGCTCCTGACCTGTCTTTGACTTTCCCAGGACATGCCACGATACCAGAGAGGAGAAACCATGCGCACAATTAATGAACACATCCAAACACATTAGAAGATGATGCTATTCAAGTATTTTGAAGACCTCTATCTCATCCCCAAGAATGCACCAATCCACTCCTTCCAGGAGGCCTTGGCTGACTGCTATAACAAACCTAGTAGGTTCTTACCCCTCATTATAGAAGTGATATAGTCTAAGTGATAGCTTATATCACATATATTTCTGGATGATGTATTTTTCTTTTACTACTTCCTAGCAGTTTTGTGTGTGAGTTTTTATCCTAAGCATCTGCTACCTGTATTTTTGCCACTTGTGTTTTCTCTGTTAATACCATATGGAACCCACACACATCTCCACCTGCTAAGGCTCACTTAATTTTCTCTCTCACCTTCATTCATTCTCAACACCAAATTTCTGCTGGCATGTACCAACAGAAATTTGTTTTTTTTAAAAGCCTTCCATGGTTGGAAAATAGTATGTAAAATATCACCTGAGTATTACCGCAAACAGATTAAGAACTGAGGAATGTTCTACTGCATAGACATTTTCTGAATTTCCTTAAATGTATCATTTCTTCTATAACTCCTTTTACCTCCAAAATTAATGTCCTAAGGAAAGTAGTCTGAAGTTTTCTTCCGTGGCTTTTGAAATATGGTCTTGTTTTTTCTCTATTATTCCACTGGAAGACTGGTGAGGGGAGGGGTGTTTCTGAGACAAAACTGGTGGTATTCAGGGGATACTCCTGGCTCAAGACTCACTCTAGCAATATTGTAGTTCCAGATATGGAACCAGGATGGGCCACATGCAAAGTAAGCACCCCAACCCTGGTAGTATCACCAACCACATGGAGTATATTTATAGTGTCTCCATTGAACGATTTTAATTACTAGATGATTGTAGTATCTTTTTAATGGTGAATGCCCTAAGGTGGGTTCAGAACCCCTTCAAGTTACAGGGACTTCTAGGCTTTTATATCCTGGTGGCAGGGAGTCTTCCCCACAGGCTGATTTTCCAAATACATGTCATGCCACAGAGAGGAGGAACCCTACTCTTCCCTTGATGAGACTGTTGATCAACTCAATCGAGGCTGAGCCCTACTTCAGAGTTCCCTGCTCTGTTTAGAACAGAATTCGTGGCATGCAGAGGCATCCAAAACTCTCAAAGCAAAAATTTAGAGTTTTCAGCATTCCATCAGAAGCAGGTCAGATAAAGATTTCCCTAGTTCAGCCAAAAAGGTCAGGTGAGGTTGCAGAATTCTGTGGAGCCAGATGACTGACATTTCAACCAGAGCAAACACTAAATCCTGTGTGTGTCACTTCACCAAGCAGCCATGTGGGCAAGGACTCCTTATTCCCAATATTCCCAAACACAGCCTTCTCCGAAGAGTGATACAATGCCAAATCATCACAAACTCATCATCCCTACCTCCACGTGGTTGGTGATGCCAAGAGCTATCCCGATGGAAGGACCCAAGCCAGCTCACAGACCCTTCCAACCCAAGTCTGCACCAAGGAGCCTGCCAGCACCTACTGAGCTCTAAGTTCTTCCAGGCACCAAACTACAGTACATGGAGTATCTGCTAGTGGGGTTCACCTTTAAGTGAAGAAGGTGATAATAAGTAAGCTAGCACTCAAGGGAAGGAAACAGTCAACAGGGATGAGATAACAAAGAAAATACCAAAGGGGCATGAGGAAAGAAAGGAAGAAGCAAGCAAGCAGCAAGCAGGCAGGCAGGCAGGCAGGAAGGAAGGAAGGAAGGAAGGAAGGAAGGAAGGAAGGAAGGGAGGGAGGGAGGGAGGGAGGGAGGGAGGGAGGAAGGAAGGAAGGGAGGGAGGGAGGGGTGGAACAGAGGGAGGGACAGAAAGAGAGACAGGAAGAGAAAGAAAGAAAAAAGAAAGGAAGGAAGGAAGGAAGGAAGGAAGGAAGGAAGGAAGGAAGGAAGGAAGGGGTAGAACAGAGGGAGGGACAGAAAGAGAGACAGGAAGAGAAAGAAAGAAAAAAGAAAGGAAGGAAGGAAGGAAGGAAGGAAGGAAGGAAGGAAGGAAGGATGGATGAAAGGAAAGAAGGAATCCATTCGGCATGAAAGACATCAAGCTTTCCTTAGCCTTCACCCCTAGATTACCCTAATCAGGGCTTTGTGTGTGTGTGTGTGTCTCTGTGTGTGTGTGTGTGTGTGTGTGTTTAATTTCCCTATGGGTACTTGTCTCTGTCCTGGTCTTCTCTTTATTGTCCATTCAAATCCCATGAGCCTTAAAACCCCTGATTTTAAAAATTCTCCTTCCTACATTAGCCTGAAGGAATGTTTCTCACTATTTACCATTGTGTTCTGAGAGATAGAGGGCAGAGAGCACTCTCTAGCATCCAGTCCAATGAGCTGGATCTATCTCCTTGGAAATCAGGGACTATTTACTAATTCCAGGCCAAAATCAGTGTTCACTTCCTATGTTGAGATTATACTAATCCCTAAGTGGGTTTTGTAGCCTGTGAATAAAGACAAGGCTGTCTTCCTTCCTTCTGACCAAGATCTGGCTCTGGGCTCGTCCTGGTGTGCTCAGGGCACACCGACAATGCTGGAGAATCACTTGCCTTGTGGAGCCCTCACTCAAAAACCCACCGAAAAGATCTCCATATGTCTGGACAAACTTACTGTCCTTTGATTTCCTCAAAGTGTCACCTCCCACAAAGCTTAGTTATTGGGTCAAGCAGGAAACAGGAAGCCTGGATACAGAAGCAAAATTAGATCATATGCCCCCTGGTACCAGCATCTGTGATGGGATATTCCCAACTGTGTGTGGATGTGCTTACATTTAATCTCTTACACACTTGCTGCCTCCTACCCTGAACCCCATGGTGCTATCCCCAGGCTAAGATGCCCAGATGTTTCTTCTTCTTCTCTTCCAAGATATCCTAGACCCTAAAGTAGGAGACGAGGTACCCAGGCACCTTCCCTATGTGGCAACGACTTCTCTGTCCCCTTCTCTCTCTTTCTCTCTCTACACTGCTTTCAAAGGGACCAATAAATGCCTCACAAAGATGTTCTAACTAGATCAGCTACACAGTCCAGCTTCTTGTCTCTTTCTCCCACCTTCCTAATCCTCAGTTCTCTCTAAAGGCAGAACCTCCATCTACACTCTCTCAATTCCACGTATTCCCTGAGGAATCCATGACACTGTCACTCCAGGATATAGATGAGTGGACAGAACAGGAATAGATCAATGTAGGTGTTCAGTACTGACACCGGAAACTACACCCCCACCCCAGCACCCCACCACCCATTTTGCTACTCCTTGGCCAGTTACCTACATTGAGAACTGAAGAGCAGAAATGATGCCCCAGCAAAGACAGGGAAGCCACAGAGAACACGATTAGATCATACGGGGTGTTTCAACTGGCTGGTCATAGAGTATCAAGATCACAAACCAGAGAGCCCAAGTGCAAGGGGAGGTTTGTGAGTACGGGAAAGTGCTACTCTCCAGGGCAGCCAGCCTTGGCAGGTGAATGTTGACACAACATAAAAGGCCCTTTCATCCTTCTAGACCTTGATGTCCACCTCTTCTAGCAGCATCCAGAACACTGGGAACGCCTATCACAATTTGCTGTTCAGTCAACAGGATCATGCAGCAAAAGACAGACGACACCCATGTGCATCCAGATCAGCATCAACTTGTGGACAAGCACCTTCATTCTCAAAGGATCAGGAGGGAAAGTTGATGTGCAAACACAGATGTCCTGAAAACTAGACTCCAGAAGCACTTAACCTTGATCCATAACTCGTGCTCCAGTTTCAGATATGATGTACTGACTTATTCTGTGATATTGGTGTGTAGCTCTTTTCAGAGGCATCAGAGGACCTCGGATACTGACCCCCTTAGTATTCTGACATACATTGTGCTCTGGGGCACAAGGGAGCAATCCCTATTCTCTAGCATCATGCTTGCAAATACCTTGAAAAAAACATGGGGACTAGAAGGTTGTTATGTTAAATCTCAAGAATGCTACCAGCCTTGCCCCCTGTGCCAACCCTCTAGCAGAGAGGGGCACTGGTTTCTCTGTCTACTCCTTTGTGTTAATCTTAATGGTCAATGCCCCACAGATTAAGAGAATAAAGGCAATTTGAACTCTTGGCAAAAATTTCTATCAACCATGAATAAATCCATGGGGCTAAGCTGAGAAAGTAATTCATCTGAGCCTCAATTGGAGCCTTGGTCAACTCATGTGGAGAAGTGCTTTCACTCCTGATCATCTTTCTGGTGTCCCCCCAAGGCAGGGACTCGGAGAAACAGGCAAGAGAACTCACTTCTTCCTCTTCTATACCAGTCAGGTCCCAGAAGTAGCCCAGTCGCATCTGCAATCTCTTCCAATTTTCGAGAAACATGGTAGCTTTAAAAGAAAAAAAGTCTATTAATTTTAAAGAGTATATTTTGGGTTCCCCCATGGAGGTGGAGGATAAGATTGCAGATTTCAAATTCAGGGATTCTCTTTAAATCATGCAGTCCCTCCCTCCTACTCTAGCAGGAAATGCTGGAAATAGGCCACAATGTGGAAAGCCAAAAGATACATTTAAAGACACACACACACACACTCACACACACACATATATACATGTACACTCACATGTACATACACATATACACACCTTTGCCCAGCTCTAAGTCATTGGGAAGAGGGAAATGAAGATCTTATGAAATAAAGGAAGGGAAGGTAGATGGATGGAAGAAATAAGAATGGAAAGATCTAGAGAGAAAAAACACAGGGAGTAAGTCTCAACCTCTGGCACTGCATATGGTCCTCTGAACACCTTCAGGAATCAGTCACAGGCAGAGTCAGGAATAGCCCCCGAGCACCACCAGGTATGGCCCAAACTTTCCACTCCCACAACAGAAAAGAATAGAAGGGTCTTTAGCTTTTTTGAAGCAACCTCATCTTGCCTTGTAGACCATTTTTCTTTCGACACATTTTTCTTTCAACAATTTCTAGCACTCTCTCTATTTTTGCTTCTTCCCGTCTTTCTGCTCATCTCATTCTAGGGTTACCAAACAGATTCATCACAGTTCTCCTGGACTCCAGAGTCGACCATCCTGTTTATTACTGATGATAAACTGAAGTCCTTAAGTGCCAGCCATTCTTCCATTGGTTTGGCAAACATTTTGGTGTTTCCTCTCCAACCACATGCTGGGAAAGGCCATTCCCACCTATGTCTTCTACTGTAGCCATGGCTTGTGATACTAGGGTTGAACACCAGAGTCAGGGTCTGCCGATGAAGCAATTGCATTCTCCCTTTTCCAAACTGAAAACAAGAAATTCAGAGGAGCAGAGACGGGAGAAGGCATTTAGCAAGTGAGAGTTTCCTTCTCCAAAAGAAGGAGACAGAGCTATGCATTCTGATGGCAATTCCAGCTCCGGTTCCCCTGAGAATTGACTATCTCTCATTTCCTGTATCCGCAAGCTTGTTTCTTGACTTCTTATAATAAATCTCTCGTTATTTGAGCAAGCGGGAACAGATTTCTAATCCTGCAGGGATAAAAAGCTAAGGCACCTGCCATGTCCAAAACACTGTCCTAGGCATTGTGGAGGAGATGGGGCCCATCGAACGGGGATTTTGTTCTCCTGCTGTTCATACAAACAGATGATAAATAATGACTACGATGCAAACCATACAGTGAGAAGAGCCTAAAGAATGGTAAGATGAAAAGCTGGGGGTCAGCCCAAGAGAGAGCTGGCTGCCAGAATGAGGGGCGATTGGGGAGGGTGGGGCTGTGCTGAATTTTCAGCACTAGGATCTGGGCAGGGCAGAAGTGGGTGTGTCAAGGCATGATTACCCAAAATGCAGTGACTCTTTAGGGTCTTGATTTTCTCTGGATATTGGAATTTGCATCTCTGACTCAGTCCATCCATCTACATCTCTTTCCCCCAACAGGCACTGCACAGCTCACATCTGCACTGGGGTCCAGGCTATCTCCTCACTATCAACTTCATCCCCGACTGTCACTATCTTCTCCCTTCCTTCCCAAAAACTTGTTCTCTAAAACCAGGCACCTGGATGCCTTCTCCTGGGAACTTCTGCTCACAAGACCTGGTGCCCTAGGAATGGAAATACTGGAACAAGTCCTTGAGACCACCCTTACCTCTTCTGCCCCACTAGAAGGAGACTTTGGTGTAGAAAAGGACAGCCCACTCTTTCTGAGATCCTAACTGTCTTGGTTTCTTTCAGGTACAGCACAGAACTGAGACTAACAAAGTCCTCGAACTGGTTGAATGTGCAGCGACTTAAAATTGCTAAGGTTTTTTTTTTCCAATTTTTTTAATTGATTCACTAAAAGATCCACAATTACAAAGTTGTTCATGATTGAGTTTCAGTCATACAATGTTCCAGCACCAGTTCCTTCACCAGTGTACATTTCCCTATCACGAATTCCCCCACTTTCCCTCTTGCCACCGCTTCAGCCTGCCTCTATAGAAGACATTTCCCTCTCTCTCCCTCTCTCTCTCCCTCCCTCTCTCCCTCCCCTTCTTCTGCCCTCCCTCTCTCTCTCTGCTCTCTCTCCTCTCCTCTCTCTCTTACTCTCTCTCTCTGTCCCCCCAGCTCCCTCTCTCTCCCTCTCCTTTATTCCTTTGATGTCCTGTGGCTTGCAATACTATACTGAAAGGTTATCACTTCCTTTCATCACTCTGGACAAGCTACAATTGTTTTTACTTAGGGCTGCATTAGGTATGGCTCAAAGACTTAGGTTCATGCCCCAGATCACATGCACCTTGGTTAAGAGCAATGATCAATGGGACAAAGCAAAGCTTCCTCGACTAGTATGAGATTCATAGCTGGGAGTGGCAGGATAGTGACCCCACACTTAGGACAAAAAGTGCAGAGCCCTTGATTCTTGATCTTTCACTTAAGAAAGCCTCATTCTCTTTCCAAATTCCTTGGATTTTATAACCAGAACCACAGAAAGGTTAAAACTGAGCATTATGCCAAACCCAGGTCTCCCACAGTCTAGTACCTTCCTTGGACCCATTGTTTTGGCAACCCCCAAACCTTGTGCCACCAACAGCCAGAGTCCCTCCCTGAGGAGAACTACTTCACCACCACCTTCTTCCTGGCACGCCTGGGCCTTGGCACAGGCCCACCCTACACAGCACTCCTGATCATAATAATCACGATAATGAGAGGCATTACTATTATTTTTAATTGTAATTTGTAGGCAATCATGCCCAGAGGCTCTTGGCTGCTGGAACCAAATGCATAATCATATAAAATACAGCAAGGCCATTAAAAAAAAAAGGCAACTAAACCCGGCCTAGAGCCAGGTAGTAAAGTGCTGGCACAAGTCTACCCTCTTTGCTTTGCCTGAACTGCTGCTTAGGAGGGGAGTTGGGTGGGGGCAGGAGGTACTAAAGAAGCACAGAAAGGATGGTAGGAAGGGATCTGTTGATTGCACCTAGTGAGGAAAGAAGAGGCTGTTGTCAGGGCTTGAAAGTGGGAAAGTACAATTGGAAACTGAGTTTCTCTCCAACAAAGAATCATGGACTGCTGGGCAGTTTCCTGTAGGAGGAGAAAGCCTAGTGTGGAAGCTGTACCTACTCACTCATGGGACCTCTGCAAGACAAATGAACGGGCAAGAGGGTTTCAAGGCAACAAAGATATAAATGTAGGTTTTAGGCTCCATTTCTTTTTTTCTTTTTTTTTTTAGGTTTTTATTTTAGTGAAACACCATGAGGTACAGTTGTAGATTTACAAATTTTTGTTCTTGGGTTTCAGTTATACAGTGATCGAATACCCATCCTTCCACCAATGCCCATTCTCCACCACCACTGATCCCAGTTATCTCTCCCACCCCACTTCTCCCCTATCCCACCTGCTTCTGTGGCAGGGCATTCCCCTTTGTTCTCTCTCTCCTTTTGGGAGCTGTGGTTTGCAAAAGAGGCATTGAGTGGCAATCATGTTTAGTCTAAAGTTTACTCTCAGCATGCATCTCCCATCCTGGGAGGATCCTCCCAACACCCTTTATTTGGTCCTCCCTTCTCTGTCTGAGCTGCCTTTTCCCCCAGCGTGTGCAGCTGGCTTCCAAGCCATGGAGTAAACCTCCTGGTACTTATCTCTGCTATTCTTGGGTGTTAGTCTCCTATTTTGCTACTTTATGTTCCCCAGATGAATGCAATCTTTCTATGTCTGTCCCTCTCTTTCTGACTCACTTCGCTTAGCATGATACTTTCCATGTAGTACCACTTGTATATAAATTTCATGACTTCATCTTTTCTAACAGCTACATAGTACTCCATTGTGTAGATGTACCAAAGTTTCTTTAACTAGTCATCTGTTCTTGGGCATTCAGGTTTTTTCCAAATTCTAGTCATTGTAAACAGTGCTGCAATGAACAAACAAGTGCAGATGTCACTTCGACTATACTTTTTTGCCTCTCTGGGATATAGTCCCAGGAGTGGTATTGCTGGGTCAAATGGGAGCTCAATTTCTAATTTTTTGAGAATCGTCCATACTGTTTTCCAAAAGGGCTGAACCAGTCAGCATTCCGACCAGCAATGGAGGGTTCCTTTCTCGCCACATCTGCGCCAGCACCGGTTGCTTTTGTTCTTTTGGATGAGGGCCAGTCTCTGTGGTGTAAAATGATATCTCATTGTGGTTTTGATCTGCATCTCCATGATGATTAGTGATGTAAAGCATTTTCTCATGTGCTTTTAGCCATTCAGATTTCTTCTTTGAGAAAGTTTCTGTTCATTTCGTCGCCCCATTTTTTTGATGGGGTTGATGTTTTTTACTTGTGGAGTTCAACCAGTACATTGTATAACCTTGATATCAACCCCTTGTTAGATGTGTATTGGGCGACTATCCTTTCCCATTCAGCAGACTGTCTATGTATTTTGGTAACTGTTTTTTTTTTTTGATGTGCAGAAGCTTATTAGTTTGAGATAGTCCAATTTGTCTATCTCTGTTTTCACTTGCTTGGCCAGTGGTGTGATATCTTTGAAGATACCATTAGCTTCAATGTCATGGAGGGTTTTGCCCACTTTGTCTTCAATGCACCTTATGGATTCCGGTCTGATGTTGAGGTCTCTAATCCATTTTGATCTTACTTTTGTACATGGTATTAGGCAGAGATCTGAGCCAAGTTTTTGCATGTAGCTGTCGTTTTGCCAGCACAATTTGTTAATTTGTTAACCCACTGTGGCTGGAACGATAGCACACACCAAATGGGTTCGATTTCTCTGTCCCTCTCAGAGAGCCCAGCAAGCTACCATGAGTATCCCGTCCACACGGCAGAGCCTGGCAAGCTCCCCTTGGCATATTCCATATGCGAAAAACAGTAACAAGTCTCACAATGGAGATGTTAGTGGTGCCCGCTAGAAAAGAGAGTATCCCCTGAAATTTTTCCTTTAGTGGTCTGAAAAATAAAGGAATGTTCCCAATTTGGGTTTCTATCCACCCCAGAAATCTCCCTGTGGGGAACAGGGAAGATCAATTTCAACACCCCCACTGCAGAAAAGCAAAGCTCTCCTCTCTCCTGCTCACACATCAGGGACATGACTCACGGCCCTGTCCTGGCATGTCCTCCAGGCCCCACGGAATCAGTGATAAATCAGGCAGCATCCCCAGCGGGTTTGGGACCTGCTGGTCTGGAAGCCAATGGGAAAGCCTGGGGGCCCGCACAGCCACCGATGATGAGTAAAAGCAGGTGGCTACTCCAGCGGGGCCTCGACATGTTGGCTTGGTCCCTTCTTGAATACACACGGGTGTGTCTTGGAAGTGTTCCGTTACCAGAGGGTTGTTATTCCAGGTTATTCCAGTTGTGGTTATAGACACGTGTGTGTTTGTGTGTGTGTGTGTTGTGTGGTAGATCTGACAGTTGTGTCCCAGAAGAAAAGCTGATGGTCAAAATACTACGAAGGGAATAGGAGGAGGAATAAAACAAGGGAACTCGTTGTTCTCTCCTTCAGAAAACCCTTTGGTGGAGTGACTGAAAACGCAAAGCTAACATTCAACAAAATCTTTACAACCGTCTACATGCGCAGAGTCCTGGAAAAAGTGTTGTACCCAGTGGGATCCAGACACCACATTTGGGACTACCTCCCTCACCAGTTCATTCAGTAATCACTCAGTCACCCACCACCGCAAGGGTCATCCTATCCAATATTTACAATAGTATGTGACCTAATCAATGAGAAGTGTCTGATGGGCAGGTAATAAGTTTCTAGAACACAAACCAGTTCCGGGGTTGACTGAGTCTTATGTGAAACACTCAGGGTTCAAACCTTCTATCATCTATTGGAAATAAAACTAATCCATGGAGGGGATCCCTAGCTATGTTCACATCCAGAAAAGAAATTCATTGTCCCAAACACACTTCTTCAGAGCTAAGGACTAAATGTGAGAGGAAGTGAGCCAAGATATGTGGTCTTCGAGCTGAGTTACTGTACCCTCTCCAGGAGAAACTCCATCCCATAGCAGCAAGCCCAAGACGGCCCACTTACCCCACAGAGCCATGAAGATCGAGAAGAAGACAGTGGCAGGGTTGTCAAACAGGTGGCTGGCCCGTGCTGTCCCGCAGGCAGAGCTGAGGTTCCAGTAATCACAGGACTTGTCACACAGGGGACACATGGTGAAGGCATTCTGCTGGTCACACATCTCCTTGCTGCAGGGAACAATTGCACCGGGTGGAGTTCAAGGAGGAAAACAAGGGAACTAGATTTTCTGCCCTTCAGAAAACCCTTTGGTGGAGTGATTGAAAATGCAATGCTAAGACCCCACCCGAACAAATAGCCCCTGAGACATCCTCTACTAATTTCACAACTGAGCTTGTGGGTGCCATCAAGGGAGAAGCCTGGAAGAAGGTGAGTTTGGCCTCTTCCCCTTCAACAACATTTTTTCTTATATTTTGTTCTGCCAATGAGGGGGCTATCTTCTGAGCTATGGAACTTCCTGTCACTAGAAATGTCTCAAAAAGAAGTTGATGTTACTCTATTGGAGATATTATACACTGAGAAACGACTTCTCAAGTTCCTTCCAAATGGACTGAGTTCTATGAGGCTGCAGGAAGCCACAGTCATTGGAAAGAATGAAGCACCAGTCGCTTTTTGTTTGTTTATTGAATCACAGTGAGATATAGTTACAAGCTTTCATGTTTGAGTTTCAATCATACAATGATCAAACACCCATATCTTCACCAGTGCACATTCTCCACCACCAATGTCCCCAGTATACACCCCCCCCTTTGCAACCTTCCCCCTGACTCTATGGCAGACAATTTCACCTATACTCTCTCTCTCTACTTTGGGGCATTATGGTTTGCAATACATATTCTGAGAGGTTATCACATTTGGTCTTTTATCTACTTTTAACATACATCTCCCTACCTGAACGATCCCTCCAACCATGATGGTCTTAGTGACCCCTTCCAGCTGCCTTCTCCCCAAGCTCATGAGACAGGCTTCCAACTATGGGGCAATATTCCTGGCCCTTGTGACAACTGTCCTTGGGTGTCAGTCTCATATTATGTTATTTTATATTACATAATGAGTGGAGTGCTTCTATGTCTGTCCTTCTCTTTCTGACTCATTTCACTTAGCATGATACTCTCCATGACCATCCACTTATAAGCAAATTTCATGACTTCATCTCTCCTAACAGCTGCATAGTATTACATCATGTAGATGTACCAAAGTTTCTTTAACCAGTAGTCTGCTCTCAGGCACTAGGATCGTTTCCAGATTCTGGCTATTGTGAACAGTGCTGCAATGAACATAGAGGAAGCACCAGTCTTAAGTCAGGGTCCACCATCAGCTCTACAAGCATAGGCTACGTTCTAAACCCTACTGACTATCTCACCAATGTGTTTCCCGATTATGAGAAGAAGAGAATGGGAGCCAACATTAGCTTTCACTTTTAGGAGAGGCCACGTGCAGAACAGAGACAGAGTGAGGCGGGGAGCACCTTTGCTAAGTACAACAGCTACATGACCACTTGTGGAATGGAGATTAGGAACATCATCCGAGTAAGAATGATCATAACCATGAAGTAGAATCAAAGAGAGCAAAAGGGTGAAGCAGATTCATCCAAAGCCTAGATTCTGTGGCACACAGAGAGAAAAGCAAGGGTCAAATAACCGCCACCTATGTTCTAACTCAGTCTCAACGTATTTGTAGACTTCTGGATTAATTTGAAAAGCCACCGGATTGGCTGGATCCAAAAAAAGATCAAGCTTATGTGAATAGCTTCAAATAAGAACCAAGGCATTACTAAACTCATGGGTTTTCCCAATAGTTCACCAACCTTATACTGGTAGGAAAATAGGCGAACTCAACACTCTGGTGTGTAATGTGACCCCTGGGAATGTGTAGCCATTTAAGCTGATGGTTTGGAAGAAAAGGGTGGCAAACACCAGACTTCATAAACATAAAGCATCTGCTGTGTTCACTTAAGCAGCTGGGGATACCCAAGGTGATGTTGAGGGAGGGAACCCACAGCTGTGCTCTCTCCTGAAAGAGACAGCAGAGGGCGCTGGAGAGCACAGCTAACAAGCCTGGGTGTTAAAGCAAGTGTTTATTGAAACCCCAGAGATAAAGGGATGCCTGAGTCTACTTCCCCTTTATGAAGAAGTTGAAGGAGTTTACTGAGGGCTGTTACTGTCTGTCAGGTTCCAGCTTTCAGGCTTAATTTTAATGTACTATCAAGCCCACAGCAAGAAAAGTCTTCTGTGTAAGAAAATGAAAACTTTAGGTCTCTGAGAATAAATCCTAGTTCCTCCACTGCCCAATGCTAAGCTCACTTTGCAAGGATCGATAGCAGTGACTCACTCACATAGGCAACATTAAGTTGCAATCTTTTTATGGTTAGTTCAAGCTGTGCTAGTTTCACCACCTGGGTGCATTCTTTTTTTTTTTTTTTTACAATGCTACAAAAAGTTTTATTAAAACTGTGTTGTGAAATGTTAGTTACTGAGAAATAAATTCAGTTATCCCACTAGGTCTGGTGACACTGTAATGTGAGGTCACACTCTTGGTCTGTGTCTCAGCACTTATTCCAGTGTTTTTTTTTTTAGATTTACAAATTTTTGTGCTTGGGTTTCGTTTATACAATGATCAAATACCCATCCCTCCACCAGTGCCCATTTTCCGCCACCATGGATAATATCCCTCCCCCACATCCCCCCCCATCCCACCCTGCCACTGTGGCAGGGCATTCCCCCCTGTTCTCTCTCTCCTTTTGGGTGTCGTGGTCAGCAAAAGAGGCATTGAGTGGCAAACATGTTCAGTCCAGTCTACTTTCAGCCTGCATCTCCTCTCCTGGGAGTATCCTCCAAACACCCTTTATTTGGTGCTCCCTTCTCTATCTGAACTGCGCTTTCCCCTAGAATACCCGGCTGGCCTCTAAGCTATGGAGTAATCCTCCTGGTGTTGATCTCAGCTATTCTTGGGTATTAATCTCATATTTTGTTATTTTATATCCCCCAGATGAATGCAATCTTTCTATGTCTACCCCTCTCTTTCTGACTCATTTTGCTTAGCATGATACTTTCCATATTGTACCACTTGTATGTAAATTTCATGACTTCATTTTTTCTAAGAGCTACATAGTACTCCATTGTGTAGATGTACCAAAGTTTCTTTAACCAGTCATCTGTTTGGGGGCACTCAGGTTTCTTCCAGTTTCTGGCTGTTGTAAAGAGTGCTGCATGCATTCTTACTCTAACTGGTGATTACAATTTATTTGAAGTCTACTGGGTCAACATAATTGCTCAAGGTTGCAAACTTGCTACTATCAGACAGAAGACGACACATAGAGCAGATGTGCATTGCGCCAGAGCCAAAGTACAGCGGGGAGGGCATTTGCCTTATACGTGGCCGACACAATTTCAATCCCCAGCACCAGGTGTGGTTCCCAGAGTTCTGCCAGGAGTGATCCTTGAGTGCAGACTCAGGAGTAAGTCCTGAGAACTTCTGGGTGTGGCGCAAAAATCAAAGAAAGCAGATGCACAGAGGAAGACATCGGTCTATATCTATTCTAACACAGAGTGCTACTTTTACGCTATGTTGAAAAACACTTCACTGCTCAGAACGGCCCTTCAAGAACAGGTGCTAGGGACATGATTTTACTATTGGGTCTTTTTTTAACAGGTAGGTGATAAGTTCACTGTATGTGTAGATAATCAACCCAACTCTCATCAAACTTCGTCAGTGCTCAAAGGTTAGGCAAGAAAGAAGAATTAGCAATAAACTTGGTATGAAACCCTTTGAATCCCAAGTGCTGTACATGTACATGATTAGTTTTTTAGCTCAAACAACAGTCAACCATCAATCTTTTGTACAAACTGGCATCCATTGTACCATGGATCCACCAAATCATTTCAATTTGAAACCAGAACATTTTCTATGTATTGGGATGGAGGGGGTGCTTTTTTGGTTCTCTTTCATCAAGCTCCTTTGAGAAGATTCTGGAAATAATTCTGCCCCAAAATAACTTTAAAATGACTTTGAAATCCCCCAAAGAGGCAGCGTGTAAACAAGCTGAAAGATGAGGGAAACTCATTCAGTTTGATGTCCCATCTAGTCATCACCCATAAATCTGAGGTTGCAATTCTCTATTCTAAATTTAAAAAAAAGAACACGGTTGAGATATGGTCTAACAACCAGTTGTACCAAGACCCCAGAGTCAATGCTGTCTAATGCTCACAGTTAGGTGATATGGGGGCAGTGTGAGCACATACGGAGGAGGTGTGATGACACAAATATTCGAGAAATGCAGACAGAACATCTGCTGTTCAAGTCTCAGACCTAGAGTAGCCAATTTCTTTTTCAATATGTTTCATATTTTTTTCAAATACTACAGTCTCCCCTACCCTTGTAAGTAAATGCCTAACAAATGGGACCAGTCTCCGGCGTGCAGAGGAGAATTCTATAGCTGTATAATACACATATGGAATTATGACTTACAAGTGAGACTTGTATCTCACATATCAAAGTTATTGGTGATAAAAGGTACCACTCGAAGTTTCACATAATGTAAGCATTCTGGTTTTGATACGTCATTGCAGTTACACAAGACTTAACAACGGGGAAAAACTCATGCAGGGGGAGATGGGCCCCTCTGTCTTCTTTTTGCAGCATCCTGTACATCTATACTTTTATGTTTTTCAAATAAAAATCTTTTTAAAAAGTTATTGCTAGAGGGGGCCAAAGCAATAGTACAGTGGGTAGAGCATTTGCCCTGCACGCAGCCAACCAGGGTTGGATCCCCATCATCCCATATGGTCCCCCAAGCAAAGTCAGGAGTGATTCCTGAGTGCAGAGCCAGGAGTAACCCCTGTGCATTGCCAAAAAGAAAATAAAATGTTTTGTTGCGTGTTTTTCTGTTTGTTTTCAGGCAACACTTGACAGTGGTCAGGGCTTACTCCTGATTCAGATCACTCCTGATGGTGCTCAGATGACAATATGGGGTGCCAGGGATCAAACCGAGGTTGGTTATATACAAGGCTTAACCCACTCTGTACTACCTCTCTGTCCCCATCATGAATTTGTGTGTGTGTATGTGCGTGTGTGTGTGTGTGTAAGCTAATTAAGTTGCACTTCTACCACTGGCAATCTGAAGAGTAATAAAACACACAAATCATGCAAGGACTGTCTTAAAGATGGCAAAGGGGTTTCATTTTTCATCCTGACATTTTTCATTTTGTCCCTTTCACTTCCACAGAATTCGATTCACTCGGCAGTTATTTGGTAGTACCCTGCTACAAACAGACATTGTCCCTGTGATTTCTCATGCCACTACCCTGAGGTAGGTTACATTCATTACTACCATTTCACAGCCAAGGAGAGCAAGCCACTCAGAGCACATTAGCCATCCACGGGGCCAGCATGTCCTGCACTCGCTCCTAAAGGATGCTATGTGTAAGTGCTTGTGTGTTTTGCAAGCTTGCTCCAAGAGCCTGATCATGGCCTGTCATTCCCTGTAGTTTTGACTGGCTACACCTGCATCCGAGCCACCCAACTGAAAAGATACTCCAGCCTTACCATCCCGATAAAAATACTGAATAAACACCATGACCTCTTAGCACCCGTATTGCAAACCATAATGCACAAAAGAAAAAGAAGAGAGAGAAGGAGAGAGGGAGAGAGAGAGAGAGAGAAGGAAAGTGCCTCCTATAGAGGAGGGCTGGGGGTGGGGGTTTTGTGGTAGGGAGATGGGGGACATTGGTGGTGGGAAATGTACACTGTTTGAGAGATGGGTGCTGGATCATTGTATGACTGAAACCCAATTATGAACAGCTTTGTAATGTTCTATCCCACTGATATCCAATTTTTTAAAAAAATTTTAATAAGTAATATGGAGTTCATGCCCAATTCAATCAGCTGAATAAATAGCAGTACTCCTACATTAAAAAAAAAACCTGCAGCAGAGCCTTCCAGAGGTCCTTGCTTCTCAGCCAGTCTCCCAGAATTTCATGCCAATGAGGTTTGAGCAGAGGGACACTGGGATTGCCACCAGAGCGTCCTGACACCTCCTATCTAAGGTATTACTAGAAACTTGAAAATAAAATAGCACTGTAACACTGTCCTCCGGTTGTTCATCGATTTGCTCGAGTTGGTCCAGTATCGTCTCCATTGTGAGACTTGTTACTGTGTTTGGCATATCGAATACATCACCGGAGCTTGCCAGGCTTTTCCACGTGGGCAAGATACTCTCGGTAGCTTCTTGGGCTTTCCGAGAGGGGTGGGGTAATTGAACTCAGGTCTCAGGTCGGCCGTGTGGGCCGCGTGCAAGGCAAACGCCAAGGCAAAAGCCCTGCCACCTGCTGTGCTATCGTTTCAGCCCAGCTAGCTGAGGAAAGCAATTTTTCAGGGATCATTTTATTTGGGGTTTTTTGTTTTTCTTTTTGGATTTTCAGGCCACACCCAGCAGTGCTCAGGGCTTATACGCCTGACTTTGTGCTGTGGGATCACTCTTGGGATGCCGGGGATTGAACCATGGTCAGCTGTATGCAAGGCAAAGGCCTGACTCTCTTTAGCCCCTTAAGCCTCCATTTTGGCCACAGCAATCTTTCACTTGCACACAGCAGAACCTAACCCTGAGAATTGGTGGAGTCAGAAAGGAAACAATGGATGGTGTGGCTCTGAAGCCATTCCCAGAACAACTCCCATGCCTCTCTCTAGACAAGATTTGTGTGGTGAGAGAGAGAGAGATAAGAGGTGAGGATTTACACAGGAAGCATGCCAAATGTTGTTGCAACTGGGATGGACTTCTGAACTTCTAACACAGGAAAACGGAGTCTTTCACTTTTATTATTATTATTATTATTATTTTAATAAGGTCAGAAGGGTGCTTGGAAGGCAGCTATGCTATCGATAGCACAGCGGTAGGGCGTTTGCCTTGCACGCAGCCAACATGGCCAACCCGAGTTCGATTCCTCTCCCCCTCTCGGAGAGCCCAGCAAGCTACCGAGAGTATCTTGCCCGCACAGCAGAGCCTGGCAAGCTCCCCGTGACGTATTCGATATGCCAAACACAGTAACAACAAAGTCTCCAATGGAGATGTTACTGGGCCCGCTTGAGCAAATCGATGATCAACGGGAGGGCCTTTACTTACTTTTTACTTACAGAAGGGTGCTAAGCAATAAATGACTGGGTTTTGTTGTTGTTGTGAGTTTCTCTCCCCCGCCACCCGCCCCGAGCAGAGCCTCAGCAGCTGAGGACCTCTGGAGCCAGCCACGGCCATGCTGGGACCACTCTCCACACGTCCAGATGGGCCTCATGCATGAAAGAACTGGCAGAGGAACCCAGGCATGCGGGTTCCGGGGCTGAGGTCTCCAAGCCTACTCAGATTGGGACTGGGCCTTCTCCACCCAGACCCCACCTCCCCCATCTTCCAGTAGGTAGGCGTCACACCCACCAGCTGCTGCCAGCACCAGGTTGGTCCCATCAACGGCCAAGACGCAGAGACTATAAAAATCAGCTCCTGGAAGCACGCGGCCATGCGACATCTTATTTTTTCCTTTGGAGAACCTGGCAGGCTACCAAAAGTATCCTGCCCACACGGCAGAGTCTGGCAAACTTCCCGTGCCATACTCAATATGCCAAATACCAGTAACAATGATGGGGCTCATTCTCCTAATCCTGAAAGAGCATTGAAATGGCTCTTTTAAAATCTCAGGGCTAGGAAGGAGACGTTACTGGTGCCTGCTCGAGGAAATCGACGAACAACAGAATGATCGTGATCGTGATCATGATTATTTTAATTAAATCACAATGAGATCAACAGTTAGAAAGTTGTCCATGATTAGGTTTCATTCATACAATGTTCCGTCACTCATCCCTTCGCCAATGTACATTTCCCGCCATCAATATCCCCCGTTTCCTGTCTTCCAGCCCTCCACCCAGTCTCTCTCTTTCCTTTGGGTCATTATGGTTCGTGATACAGCTACTGTAAGGTTATCATAAGGTGTATTCCTTTACCTTCTTTCCGTACCCAATTCTTGTCCAGAGTGATCATTTCCAGCTGTCGTTGTCATAGAGGTCCTTCCTCTATTCTAATTGCCCTCTCCCCTCTTCCTCCACTTGTGGCAAGTTTACAACCGTGGACCAGTTTTTCTGACCCTCATTTCTATTGTCCTTGGGTAATGGTCGCATACTGTGTTTTTTTATATCCCACCAGCTTACCTGGGAATATCTTCTTCAATGGTTGCACAGCCATACAGAAACACGATCACCCCAATGACAGACGATGGGATGAGGAAGTAGGTATATAACCCCAGCCAGGCAAAATACAGTCCGATTTTTTCTCCAAAATACTTTCTGGAAAAGCAAGAAAAGGAAACACAAATGAAGCCTATCACATCCTTTTCTTCTTCTTCTTCATGTTTGTTTTAAATTTACTGAGGGGGGGGGTTGGGTTTGTCACCGTAAATGGAAAAGGAGAGAAAATTACAGAGGTCAGAAGCAATCAGTGACTGGGTTTTGTTGTTGTGAAACAAATGACGCCAATAGTCATGAGAAGGATTCCAGACCTAACAGCAAACTCAAAAGATGTCGTATACTTTGGCATCTTTATCAAACCTGAATAAAACACATTATTTCATGAATGCCAGTATTCAATCCATGAAAGAATACACAGGTTTGGAATTGACTTATTTACAGAAAATATTCAAAGGATATATTTGCATATGTATACTTAAGTATAAACGAATGAAGACACCCTCATAGAGAAATGACTGGAAAAAAATTGAGAAAATATTAATCACAATTTATTTAGATAATAGCATTGATCCATGTCCTTTAATTCCTTGTTTTTTCTTCTGTATTTTAAACTCTCTACAGTGTTAAAGAGCTACTTTTATAATCAAAAGCATTTTTTTTTTGCTTTTTGTGTCACACCCAACAATGCACAGGGGTTACTCCTGGCTCATGCACTCAGGGAATTACTTCTGGTGGTGCTTGGGGGACCATGTGGGATGCTGGGAACCAAACCCAGGTCGGCCGCGTGCAAGGCAAATGTCCTACCCACTGTGCTATCATTCCAGCCCTCAAAAGCAATTTTTAAGAAGAAAACTTACCCACACATGCCTTTTTAATACCTTGTTCATAAAACTAGTGAATTATTACTTTGAGCCTCTAAAGAGGGATTTTTCCCCCCTTAGATAAATATTGATTATAGATGCCTGATGAGAAAAACACAATCCACAGAGGGGCAGTATGTTTTAGTTCTCAAGAGTCTCTGACAGATGAATGCAATCTTTCTATATCTATCCCTCTCTTTCTGACTCATTTCACTTAACATGACACTTTCCATGTAGTACCACTTGTATGTAAATTTCAAAACAGGAGACTAATACCCAAGAGTGGCCGAGATTAGTACCAGGAATTTTGCTCCATGGCTTGGAGGCCAGCCACACATGCTAGGGGAAAAGGGAGCTCAGATAGAGAAGGGAGCACCAAATAAAGGGTGTTGGGAGGATCCTCCCAGGATGGGAGAAGCATGTTGAAAGTAGACTATAGACCAAACATGGTTTCCATTCAATGCCTCTTTTGCAAACCACAACACCCAAAAGGAGAGAGAGAACAAAGGGGGAATGCCCTGCCACAGAGGCAGGGTGGGGTGGGGGGGGATGGGAGTGGGAGGATACTGGGACCCGTGGTGGTGGAAAATGGGCGCTGGTAGAGGGATGGGTACTTGATTATTGTATAACTGAAACCCAAGCACAAAAATTTCTAAGTCTACAACTGTACCTCATGGTGTTTCACTAATAAAAATTTTTAACAAAAAGAGTCTGACATAAAATACAGAAGAGAAATGAGATCTTATCCTTCCCTTGGTGGGAGGAATGAAAAAGGAGAAAAGGGAACAGAATTCACTAACAGCCAGAGGCTCTCCCCGACCTTGGGTGCCAACAACTGCACAATAATATCTTTCACCCGTACACCTTGAGAAATTTATACAATCTATGAAATACAATCTATGAAATCAGTCTTCTGCCCCCACGCCTGACTGTCCTCGCTCGCCGGGACCTCTTGGAGGGGAGCGGGTTGAGCTTTCCTCCCCGCCCCGACCAGGGCTCAGGCAGCCAAAGACCTCCAGGACCAGCCACCACCATGCTGAGACCACTCTCTGCACACATGAAGGTACTGGCAAAGTCACGCGGGTTCCAGGGCCGAGATCTCCAAATGTACTCGGATTTGGGCCGAGCATCCTCCACCCAGATCCTCCAAATTCCAGTAGGCGGGGGTCACACCCACCAACTGGCCCCCTGGTGCCGTGTAATCCCATCAGCGGCCAAGACTCAGAGACTATAAAAACCAGATCCCGGAACCGCGCGGCCACAAATGCGGCCGCGCGACATCTTTTTATGACATCTTATTATCTCATTCCTACTTTGGACAAACTGGCAGGCTACCAAATGTAGCCTGCCCACACGGCAGAGTCTGGCAAACTCCCCGTGGTGTACCCAATATGCCAAATACCAGTAACAATGATGGGTCTCATTCTCCTAAAGAGCCTTGAATATAATCTCAGGGCTAGGATGAAGGAGACGTTACTGGGGCCTGCTCGAGGCAATCGACGATTAACAGGATGATTTGTGATTTTTGTGATTTTGTGATGAAATCAAACTTTCCTTGAGCTCATCAGAGAGCAGAGGTGCTTATAAACTAGCCAGTTTAAAAGATGACAGGGCTTGAAAAAAATATACAGTGGATAGGGCACTTGCCTTGTAAGTGAAAGACCTGGGTTTGGTTCTTGGCACTAAGTATGGTTCCCTGAACACCACCAGAAACAGTCCCTGAGCTCAGAATCAGGAGTAAACACTGAGTACAGCTAGTACAGCTGGGTGTGGCCTCAAAATGACTCTCCCCAACACAAAAAAGATAAGCCCTCCAAGGAAAGATGAGACATAACTATTGTACACAGGTCTAGAGGAAGAGTACAATGAGTAAGATGCTTGCCTTGTATGCAGCTAGTCAGGATTCAATCCTGGCACCATATGTTCCCCCAGGCAGAGGTGCTTATCCCTCCCACCAGGAGGGATCCCTGAAGTGCAGAGCCAGGATTGAGCCCTGGCCCTGAGCACCACTAGGTGTGACCTCAAACCAAGAAGAAGGAATAGGAGGACAAAGAGGAGGAGGAGGAAGAGGAGGAGGAGGAGGAGAACAAGGAAGAAGAGGAGGAAGAAGAGGAGCAGTAGTGAAGGAAGGAAAGAAGGAGGAGGAAGAAGGAAGGAAGGAAGGAAGGAAGGAAGGGAGGGAGGGAGGGAGGGAGGGAGGGAGGGAGGAAGGAAGGAAGGAAGGAAGGAAGGAAGGAAGGAAGGAAGGAAGGAAGGGAAATCATTGTACATACAACAAAATATGAAAGGAAAAGTGAGTCACCATCAAAGTGAAAGCAACAGTTAAAATTGCTAAAAATCTAGAAAATTGAATAGAAGTTTTATGATAGAATTATCTGGGAACTACCAACAGAACAGAAGTTTGCAATGCAATAGATTAATCACTTTGAGGTTCTATTCAAAGACCATTGTGAAGGTACTGTTGAGGAAGACGGGCAAATTTGGCAATTCCAGTGACCCTCCTGAACTGTACACAAGAGAGACTACCTTGACAGTGGAGGAGTGCAGGGATGAGAACCAGGGCAACCAAGTAAAGAAAATTAGTCATTTTAAATCTTGCCAACATAAGGGGTAGCCAATCATATACAACATGGAAATGGCTTAAATGTGGGATTTAGAACATTTAGAGGGGGCACAGGTGAGAGAACTTCCTCTTTGACTCTTCACCTATTCCAGGTTTAAATACAACTCACCTTAAGTTTATACTGACTTTCAAATACAATATCCAGAAGTCAATTTTTAAAAACTCAGAGAAGCATTAAAAAGTGTTTTAGACTCACCACCAAAAAATATGGAAGTAGGGACCAGAAGAAGATAGTACAACAATTAAGGTATACTCCTGGCATGCACCCAACCTGGGTTTAATTCCTGGTACCACTTGGTACCTCAAGCATTGCTGGGAGCACCTCTGGAGGTCCCTCGAGCATGTCTGATGTGACCTGGATAATCCCCAGCACCACACTCAGGGTTCACTTGCATTACATCCTCCATCTTTTGCATTGGACCACTAGTCCAATTGGCCAAGAATCATCCTTGGAACTAAAAGGCCTCCTGAACATCCATCACTTGTGAGATCCTCCAAAATAAATAAGGAAATCAATAAAACCAAAATTAATCTAGATGTCAGAATTATGGTACAGGTGTTTTAAATAATTATAATTGATATGTCAAAGAAGAATCTGATGCAAAATATGAGAAGACTTGGAATTTCCACAGAGACAAAACTGGAAAGTGGAATTGCTCAAAACAAAAACCACAAATGAAATCAGATATAAAAAATGTCTTCATTAGAGTGCCTTAGCAAGAGACTAAACACAGCTGAGGAAAGATTCAGTTTAATATTTGCTCTTAATACAAGTCAATAAATATTATTCAAACTAAGGCACCAAAAGATCAAAAAAATGAAGAGGGGAAAAAAGTAAAATAACTTACAAGCAAGAGCTTTCGGACAATATCCAAGGACCTATTGTACATGTAATTAAAGTCCCAAAGGATTAATAAAAAAGGAAGAAAAAATATTGAATGGATTATGACTAAGAATTTTCCAAAATTAATGAAAAACAACAAGATACAGAGCCAAGAACTCCAGAGAATCCCAAGAAGAATAAATACAAAAACAAATATGAAAACCCATATATCATAACCAAATCACTGAAGATTGTGACCAAACTTCTGAAAATCTTTAATCTGGAATGCCAGGGAGTGGGAAGTGAGAGACAAAGGAAGATAGTATATAAGTAAAACAAAGTCAATGTTTGCAGCCAATTTCTTGGTGGATCTATACAAAACGCACGAAAAAGTGGAAAACTCAAAGTATGGAAAGAAAGAAAAAAGTCAATCCAGAATATTATATACAAAGGAAATACACTCTTAAAAACGAAGACAAATCAAAGACTATCTGAGCAAACTCATTGTCAAAAATCTAAACTACAAGAAACGTTAAAGGGGGCTCTTTAGGCAAGAGGAGAATGATTCCAGTTAAAATTGTTAATCTACACACCAAAATGATGGTGTGAGTGAGTAAAAGAATGACAAATATAAGGCATACTTTTCTAATTTCTTTAAAAGATAATTCACTATCTAAAGTATGAATTATCAATGGAAAAAATATTCCCCAAAGGGGATGGACTTAGTTCTTTGGAAACCATAAATTATATTAGTTGTCATAGTGAGTTTTTTCTCTCTCTGGTGGTGGGGGGG